CAACATAATTGTCGAACAGAATTGGGCAACGTAATTGTCGAACAGAATTGGGCAACGTAATTGTCGAACAGAATTGGGCAGCGTAATTGTCGAACAGAATTGGGCAACATAATTGTCGAACAGAATTGGACAACATAATTCTCGAACAGAATTGGACAACATAATTCTCGAACAGAATTGGACAACATAATTGTCGAACAGAATTGGGCAACATAATTGTCGAACAGAATTGGGCAACATAATTGTCGAACAGAATTGGGCAACATAATTGTCGAACAGAATTGGGCAACATAATTGTCGAACAGAATTAGGCAACATAATCTTACTACAATAAAATAAGCTTCACGCTGACCTTAACTTTGACTTCTGTTGTCACTGGGTGACGAAGACTTTTCTGCGGTGACCTCTCGTCCCTAATCCATTTTGGTATTTTAGGATAGAAGTGGTAGGTCACAGGTTCTAAAGAGAAAGAAAGAAACATTTCTGATAACGGCACGGAGGAGCTGGCTAATGTAATGTGGGCTTAGTTGGTTTTGTAATGTGAACTCCATGGTTGTCTGTGGGTAATGTGATGTGGGCTTTATCGCTAATGTGACGTTCACTTCGCTGCATGGATAATGTTATCTGCGCTTCGTGGGTAGTGTGACAGGTACGGGTCTTTATGGGTAATACAGTGTGGGCTTTTCCGTTATTGTAATATTTGCTTCTTGTGTAATGTAATGTGGGTTTCATGAATTTTGTAGTCTGGGCGTTTTTTTGTTTTTGTAGTGTTGGCTTCTTGTGAAAGGTAATGTGAGCTTCCTGATTGATGTAATGTGGGCTCTCTGCTCATAGTAATATTGACTTATTTTGTATTCTATGGAGGGTTTCATGAATCATGTACTACGAGCTTCAGTAACTTTCTTTCAGAGCTTAGTATAAACAAGCAGATTACGCCAAGCTGTACGTAGAGGAAAGAAGGTGGTATTATAAGATTCGATGTTCTAAGAATTCTGTAGCATTTCGGTTCAAAAGCTGTGACTCGCATCCATAATTTTCCACGGGAAAGAAGCATGATTTCAATGTTTTTATCTGAACTCGCTGGCAGATGCTGTGCCATTAGTTGGTTTTTCTGTTTCGTCTTTGCATTGCTAAAGCGATTTTTTTGTTGTTGTTGTTGACCTTTTTTGTACAGTCGCCATTGTTGTTAAATAATGAGCCAAAATTTCAAAATATGTTTATATCAACATTGATCACTGGCATCGTGAGAGCTAATAGACTGAAATGGTTGGGGCATATTGAAAGAATGTCAGATGATAGAGAAGTAAAAACTGTACACACAAGGGAGATGAATGGTCGCAGACCTCAAGACAGACCAAGAAGACAATGGAGAGATAATGTCCAGACAGACCTGCAAACACTTGGTGTCACAGACTGGAAAGAGAAGGCCCCACACAGAGATTTACAAGGTCGGATGATATCTGCAGCAAAAAAAACTTCAAGGGCTCGGAAAGCTGAAGAAGAAGTCGAAGAAACTCTTCCGCAAAATCGTTGATGTTTTCAATCTCCTCGTTATCCTGTCTGGTATACACGTACGTTAAACCCCACCAACTCATGCACTTCCTGCACTGTGTTGAGAAACCAGTAGTCTGATCTACCCGAATATCGAGTCACTGTTACCGGTCTCTAAGAGTGATCAAAATAATCCTTTTCCAACCAAACTAAATCGAACAGTGATGTATTAATGGTGAATAAATAGGTTTATTTCTAGGTACTCTTGACTGAGTGCTTCCGACATGAAAATCGAGGTTGGCTACTCTTGGTATCGAAGGAAGTAAGATTATGTCTGTAAAACCATTGTGTAATCGCGGCTACAATAGAGGGACGATTACCGGCTGACAACCAATTTCTCTAGAAGGCGTGTGTTTTGTTAAGTCTTGTTGAAATGCAGAGGTGTCGAAACTGATCGAGTTGCTGGTTCGAAGGCTCCGGTAGCAAGCAGTTTGTCTGATTTCTTCATCATTATCATCCATCAACATCACCCACGTTGTCGTGGTAATAATCATCAACATTTGGTAGGTGCAGTTCAACCCCACCCCCCCCCACCCCCACCCCCCAGAGAAATAGTTAAATTGTCGACCTCGCTTTCTTCAGGGTCATAAGGGTTTCGTACCCCTTCTTTTGTCAATGCAGGTGCCTGCTTCTGTCTAACTTTCGATCTTCTCTATCTAGGCCTGTCTATGTCTTTGCCCCTGGTCTCTTTGCCACGGCAAAAATCAAGAATTTGTCAGCCTGCTTGAGATCAGAGAAGACGGCAGTTTAAAACAGAAATACTGTGAAGGAGTTCTGGGTGCAGGTGTAATCAGAAAACAGTGCTATTTATAAGGCAGAAGTGTATTCTCAACGTACGCTAACATTAAAAACAGATACGAGAGCAATCTTCAAGTGATTTGAGGGTACAATTAAAAACTTCCCATAAACATAAGGGATATAATGAAAAATCCACCCAAACAGTTTTATTCATCGCATTAAAGACAACTGAATATTAAATGTCCATTGTGTTTTTCTTCTATGTATTTAAACCACTTTAAGGGTAGATGTGCCGCGAAATTTTGTTTTTGTCCGACAAGGGTGCCGCGGCGAAAAACGTTTGAGAAACGCTGCCCTTGAGCACCATAACAGGGTCTAATTGTACAAAGACAGATTAATATGTGTGTGGGTGTGTACGATGTGTGTGTGTGTGTGTGTGTGTGTGTGTGTGTGTGTGAAATAATTTGTACAGGTCGTATAACTTATGGTAATGTCTTTCCGATCGTCAGAGAGTCCCAAACTAATAGTGCCGGTTGCAGTCTGATTTTACATATACGCATCACTCATTGCACTCTCCTCGTAGGATGCTTTTTTTTAAAAAAGGTTAACTGTTCGAAACCACACCCTGACCTCTCCAGGGGTGGTAAATATCAGCCGGTGGCACTTAAATAACCGGGTGTCTAACGCTTGTGTGAACGGGGTTTCCTGGACCTCTTACACGGGTGATACCTCATCACCCCAGTATGCCTTTCACTTTGTGCTGCCGTGTCAGAATATCTTCATATCGCTTGTGTGATATCCTGGTGGGGTACAACTTACCGACCTAGCTACCTGATTTTACCCCAGTAGTGCCTTTCATCCTTTTGCTGCGTGTCAGAATATCTGTCATCACATCCGCCTCGTTCATGTCCTCCTAAAACAGCGGTTTTCAACGTGCCGGTCAGGACCCTTTTTTTTTGGAAGGCTGAGAGCCACTGTCCTAAAGCGATTTTTCCGCATATGCCTTGTCGTGCATGCTTTACCATCAGACGGTACAGAATCGGCCAGTTTGTCTGTTTATTCGTTTTTATTACAATGATATATCCTTTAGAAAAAGATTCCAAGAATGTGTACCACCAGTGGCCTTTGAAGCGATGTTAACCTCAAGCGATGTTGATAATACTAAAGTAATGGTAAATCTAGTTTTTGGCCATAAAACAATACACGGCAAATTGCGGCTTACAAGTTCTGGCGTACAGGTCGACTGAAGATTGTTAACTCAAAATTGAGAGTTTCCCTGTGTGGGTTCACGAGCCCTATTGTGGGGGAAAACAAGAATAGACCCGCTAACTGCTCAGAAGCATGTCGTAAGAGTCGACTAATATGGAGCTTTCTTTAAAGTCGGAGTGTATCTGCCTGAGAGGCAGGGAACCAACAGTCTGCACACAAATGAGTCAGGTCTGTCAAACGGATGCATACGCATCACTTAGTTTCTGAAATAGGACTGCAGTCCATAAGTTGACAAACAGCAAGAATTTTACGCCGAAGTTTACAGCCGGTAAACGCAAAGAAAGAAGAAGTAAGAAGTTAACTCAAAAGTGTGAGTTAGACCTGAACCTACTGTATAGGTAGTTCTCCAGATATTCTTTTGTGTTACTATGTTCATCAAACACATGCTGTAGTAGGAGATGTTTTGTCGCATAAATATATATTTACATACGCCTTCTTACTTATTCCTTTTCGTATTATAACCATTCTATTCACGCGCGCCCCACCCCCTTCCCATTATGTACTTCTGGTTTCATGTTGATCTCTTTCTAATCACATTTTATGTTATATTTAACATTCCTTATATTTGTATCTGTCTACTGGAGCTGTGGTACGCAGCATTCAGTGATCCCTAGCAGTGCTTGCCCACTTGTTCTTAACTAATAGCGAAGGCGAATGGACGTAGCTTGGTGCAACAAAGCCTGGCAAATGGTATCACAACGTATAGTTTGAGAAGGGAAGCGGAAGCAGTCACTGCTGCCTTCCACTGGCTTCAGAATCAGCTGTCCACACATGCCGTCATTGTAACTGACTCACAGAGCATGTTGAGAAAGGTGGAGACAGGCATGCTCCGTACAGAGAGGCAAGCATCACTTCAAAGGTTCTGTGTAGTTATCATCCTTTGGATATTTTCTGCAGGTCATGGCGGTGTGTTGGGAAATGAGCAGGCAGATAGACTGTCCGGCTCTGCACCACTTGGTGGTAAATTGATGACAAGCTGGGTGTTGTGAGCGTCCTTTGGGGGGGGGGGGTGTGTGTGAACAGTGCCGAGGCACAGATAGATCATTACAGTCTGAGGAGAATGGCACTGCGAGGTGTTACAAGGGGATCTCCCCGACGCTCGACACTCAGGGGAAAAGGCGAGACGAATATACCATAAAACAGTTACTGGTACCATCGCAATTGGAACTCTTCGCTTGCTGCTGAAGATGAGGGCGGAGCGCTTATGGTGGTGTCCCGAGTGCTGTGATGTCGATTCTTAATTCAACACTAAACATTCACAACTAGGTGCTAACAGTTTGCATTTTATACCCGTCATATAAGTCGACCCTTAGTTTTGGAAAGAGCCTTTAAGCTTAAAAAAACTAGTATTAACTAATAATAATATAAATTAGACACATTTTACGAATTATTACAATAATGACTAATCAAATTGTTTCAATTTCTTCTTTTCTGTCCGGCAGGCGAGCTGCATGTCCCATTGGAAGTGTGTGGTGCGGTCGTCAAGAGAGAACTTGACTTCTGGCAAATCAACGAGCTGGAGATCAAGGCGTGTTGCTGGCGGCATTACCGATCGTACATTGAAAACCAGAACATTCTAGACTCTTTTAATCACAGCTTGTTGAGTCAGGCGGTCGAAGTGGATTTAAACGCTCTCACCGGATGGCCTAGAATCCAGTGGAAGGTTTGGCTGATCCTTGAGTATCCACGGACATCCAAACCGGCAATGGTAAGTTCTCACTGTTTTCAAATCGTTCCTTAATATCTTCTTCTCGAATGCAGATACATGCAACGAACTCAGGCCCAGCTACGCCAATCTACATACTTATGATAGACGGAGTCCGACCAGAACACTATGATTGGACGTTCAGTCTTTGCCTTAAAATGTGAGACGCGCAAGTGTAAGTGACAGGTACGTCAGCTTGGTGAACGCTCCTACCGGCGACCACGCGTGCTCTGTAATACATGATGTGAGCGCCTTTAACAATCCCATTACATGTTCAACTGACCCTCACCCCAATCCCCTCCCCAATAGACTAAACCTGTCCCACGACAGAGGGCAATCTACAGCGTAGACTGAGACACCCCTGTAACCTTGAGCAACGTGGACCAGCCTGACCAAGCGTTTGTTACCAGTTCTGACTGCTGATCTGTGTGACTTAACATCAACCGCACTTAAGATCATTAAAAAAAAAAAAAAAAGTAAAATAGCGAGTGAAGAACGATAACTACAGTGGTAGGGTCAAACAATTCGGTACTGATACTTAGAGTGCATCAGTAGTGTCTCATTATACGTACACACATTGATTTGTGTGTGTGTTTTATGTACAATTTGTATAACCTATTTGAATGAGAATCTTGTAGAAAAATATAAATTCAACTTATAACCAGTTCGACTTATAATATATATATATATATATATGTGTGTGTGTGCGTGTGTGTGCGTGCGTGTGTGTGTGTGTACATATATTTTGCAAGAAATTTAAGATCGGGGATTGAGAACGTTGCCCTTGTAGATAGTCACCACCGAATGCTGAACATTTGATACAGACATGTTCTCTACATGCAGCTGAGAGATCCCGGCTGTGGTCGGCGCATTCCAGTGAAAACTAAGCTCTATTGGCCTGGCATCATATAATTTATAGACTTCTCATCTGAAAACCACTGAGAGGCAAAACGACACACAAAAAAAAAATATGAAGAAGAACCTTCCATTTAGGCAACTCAATATTTTAAATTGTACAAGCAGCATAGCAATGGTTTATAAACAACAACAGTCATGGAACTTACTGTCTGCTAAAGCCGAGTTTTTCAAATTACGTGTCAAGACACATTAATGTTTCTGATGCAGTGTGAAAGTTATGTCGCGCTAAAGTAAATGTGTCTGTATCTCTTCTTTTTCTCCTCTTCCTCTTTCGTTCACCTCGAATAAGATGTCTAAATCTGCAGTTTTGTCTGGTACAAATGTCACTGTCGTTTTTAATTTATCCAATGGTCCGCGGTGTTTACTTTCTATTCTTTTTTTTCCCGTTGATGTGTAAAAGTCAGTGCAGTCTTTGAGTAGGTGTCCTACTCGCTGGGAGATGTTCCACATATACACACGGCTGATACACCTACCTTAAACTTTGTGTACGTATGGCTGCGTAATCGGTTGTGTCCTGTCCTGAGGCGCAGGATAATGACTTATTCTGATCTGTCCATAATAAAAGTATTCGGATTATGCTGCATCTAGTGGTTTTCTAATTTTTTGACGGGTTATTTTAACCTATGGTTTGTCAACAGACTAAATTACTGTGTCGAGAAATTGTGTTTGTAGTAGGAAACTATAGCTAAATGAAAAGTGATGACAGTTATTTACTGCTTCTTATCCTTTGTTTCGTCGTCCATTGCAAGTAACATTCGACAATAGTGTCCGACAATTAGGTAATGAGACTAATTCCATAAAAATTTTAAAAAATGAACAATTGAAGATTCAACCTGTTTTTATTAAAAGTAAGCCCCTTGTGCATTAATACAGCAAGTGGCACAATCTAACAAACACTGGAACGACCTTTGTAGTTCTTCTGTTGTTGTGGCCCTTAAAATGGATGTTACGGCACTTTGGATGTCATCAATTTCGTCAAAGAAGCGTCCTTTAAATGGCAAATCCGGGGAAATAGGGTGGATGGTTGAGAATAAGCAATTTTTTGGGATCCAAAAATTGCTGTATAGTTACCGCCCTTTAAGCCAGTGAATTGTCGCGAAGAAGAAACTAATTGCCAGGTTTTGAATACAAACCGGCAAGCAACTTTTTTCTTGCCCAAATCTTCCACTAAAATGTTACGAATACTCGCTGTATTAACGCCAAATACGATCTTTTTGTATCTGGTCTCAGAATTTTGCAATGAATTCCTCATTACGATCATAAATTAGGGGTCCAGATCTAGTTGCACTGGTAATCACTTCCACGCCACTTTTAAATCGTGAATACCAGCTGAAAATCTGTGCACGAGATAAAAAATTATCTCCATAAACTTATCGCATCAATTCAACTGCCTCAGTGGCACTTCTTCTGAGTTTTTAACATAATTTAATATCAGCTTTTGTGCTCCATGCTGATTACGTAACAATGCACCTCTGACTAAGTCAACAAAATGGCGGCTTGTTTGTTGTATGATTATCAGGTGGCGATAAAAAGTTGCCAGATCATAGACGAAGATTGCCTCCTTGGATCCCATGCTGTGAATCATAGATAGCATTGTTGTCTTAGCCAAAATACAATCAGTCCTATTACTTAATTGTCGGACCTTGTATATATCCAATTACAATCCTTAGAGCTAAATAGGATATTGTTCTTAATTTCAAAACTTTGACTGTAGTTACAAGAATATGGTTTCACACAGCAATGATAGGCCCAGAAGATTTTTTCAGGGAAAACAAATACAGAAAGGATATGGCTACTCTGTAAGGAATACTTACCGTGTAAGGAATGCCTAGTGTGTAAGGAATAGCTACTGTGTCAGGAATGACTACTGTGTAAGGAATGTCTACTGTGTAAGGAATGGCTACTGTGTAAGGAATGCCTAGTGTGTAAGAAATGCCTAATGTGTATGTAAGGAATGCCTACTGTGTAATGAATACCTACTGTGTAAGCAATGGCTACTGTGTAAGGAAACCCTACTGTGTGAGGAATGGCTACTGTGTATGGAATACCTACTGTGTAAGGAATACCTACTGTGTAAGGAATACCTACTGTGTAAGGAATACCTACTGTGTAAGGAATACTTACTGTGTGAGGAATACCTACTGTGTAAGAAATAACTACTGTGTAAGGAATACCTATTGTGTAAGGAATACCTACTGTGTGAGGAATACCTACTGTGTGAGGAATACCTACTGTGTCATGAATGCCTATTGTGTCAGGAATGCCTACTGTGTCAGGAATGCCTACTGTGTCAGGAATGCCTACTGTGTCAGGAATGCCTACTGTGTCAGGAATGCCTACTGTGTCAGGAACGCCTACTGTGTCAGGAATGCCTACTGTGTCAGGAATGCCTACTGTGTCAGGAATGGCTACTGTGTCAGGAATGGCTACTGTGTCAGGAATGGCTACTGTGTCAGGAATGGCTACTGTGTCAGGAATACCTACTGTGTCAGGAATACCTACTGTGTCAGAAATACTTACTGTGTAAGAAATGGCTACTGTGTAAGGAAATTCTACTGTGTAAGAAATACCTACCGTGTAAGAAATACCTACCGTGTAATTAATACCTACCGTGTAATTAATACCTACCGTGTAAGAAATACCTACCGTGTAAGAAATACCTACCGTGTAATTAATACCTACCGTGTAATTAATACCTACTGTTTAAGGAATTGCAACTGTGTGAGGAATACCCACTGTGTAAGGAATGGCTACTGTGTGAGGAATACCCACTGTGTAAGGAATGGCTACTGTGTGAGGAATACCTACTGTGTAAGGAATGGCTACTGTGTGCGGAATACCTACTGTGTAAGGAATATCTACTGTGAAAGGAATACCTACTGTGTAAGGAATACCTACTGTGTAAGGGATACCTACTGTGTAAGGAATACCTACTGTGTAAGGAATACCTACTGTGTAAGGAATACCTACTGTGTAAGGAATACCTACGGTGTAAGGAATACCTACGGTGTATGGAATACCTACGGTGTATGAAATATCTATGGTGTAAGGAATGCCTACGGTGTAAGGAATGCCTATGGTGTAAGGAATGCCTATGGTGTAAGGAATACCTACGGTGTAAGGAATACCTACGGTGTATGGAATACCTATGGTGTAAGGAATACCTACGGTGTAAGGAATGCCTACGGTGTAAGGAATGCCTACTGTGTAAGGAATGCCTACGGTGTAAGGAATGCCTACTGTGTAAGGAATGCCTACTGTGTAAGGAATGCCTACTGTGTTATTAATGCCTACTGTGTTATTAATGCCTACTGTGTGAGGAATGCCTACTGTGTAAGAAATGCCTACTGTGTAAGGACATATGCAGACGTGACCTGAAGGATATCAGCATTGACGCCGACACTTAGGAGAGATCTGCTGTAGAGCGTCTTCTGTGGAGGCAGACGGTGAGAGACGGACTGTCACAGTTTGCAAGAGTTGCAAGAGACAATTGCAGCAAGCTATAGAGACAAGCTCTCTGAAAGAAATCTAACATCAGTATGAAAAAGCATCAACGCTTTTGTGTGCGCTATGTGACAGAGATCCCTTTTCACGCTTTTGAGGGCATCGGGTCATTGGGAAGAGCGACCACATTTTTACAACCATCGCCACCAGGTTGGTAATGTGGTCAGCATTATGCCAGTCGTCATTACTTTCCCAGGACAGCCATCAGGTACAAATTTTAGGCTGGGTCGACCTGCGACACCCCATACCATGCGTCGCCGTGGTGTAGCGGCTAGATGCTCGCGTGCGGATCAAAATGTCGTGGGTTCGCTCCCTGGCGAGCCCCATTTGTGTGGGTACAGCGAAGTAAAGGCGGCCGGCGTGATGCTGACCACATCACCCATCTTGTGCCGTTTTGGTCTATAAAAATATAAGTATAGCCCTATATGCCCTATAGACTAAAAGGCGTGGGAAAGGGGTCCTTTACTTTGCTTATGTAACAGAGATTGCTACTCCCGCATTGGACTTTACAGTCATGACAGACGCTGTTTCAAAAACAAGCAGTACAACTCTATGATCCCTTGGACTGATGATTGCCTACG